TTTGTGTGGTCTTCTCCCGAAGTCCCCCCCCCCCCCCCCAAAAAAGCTCTGCTCTGTATTCATTACATCCGGATGTTTCCACACCATTAAAAACATAATAGTCTTTGGCCAAACTGAGCTGCTGCTGATTTTTATTCTGTTCTCAATCAGGAAGAACCAAGAGGAAAAAAGTGGTAGAGAATTCATGATGAAACTGAACACTGGGGCTGTACACAATGAGCAGGAATAGATTATGCCCAGTGTGTCACTTCCCATCATGAGGAGCGACTGTAACTACTCTGAGATGTCGTTATGGGACATGACATTATCTTTGAGCCAAGCAAGCATTAGTCAACCTGAAACAAAAGCCTGCATCACCTTGCCACTTCTGTTCATCAGTGTTGAAATAAACATGTCTGCCATATTCTGTCTCCAAAATTAAAAAAGCCCACACTGTACAAAAGGAATGAATTTTTAGACTAATAAAAAAAATAAGGCCAAGAAAATATTTAATATTTAAGTCTCTGTGCAGTCAACCTGTCAAAACAGTATCATGACCTTCCTATACTGCTGTGATGGTACATGTCTCCCTGCTGTTCATCCAGTAGTCATCTTATTTACATAGTCAGCAGAGGGACACACAGCTGAATGAAGGGGATGTGTGCCTAGATTCCTTGTGTGTTACATGATGTATATTTAGTGTGGTTCCTTCTACAGTGTCCTCAGTGAACATATTGCATACCTAACATGTCAGGCATATGAATTATCATCTTCTTCCTCTGTAGGTTCTTTAGCCCCAGGCTCTCACTTTCTTGGCCGCTTCCAGGACCGTATGGTGTGGATAATGATCCTGGAGAGAGGATATGGCTACTGTACTGTCAACATTAAGGTATTGTGGTTTTCTGTTTGTCTGTTAAGAGTCACTGCGGTTATTTACAACAAGATTTATAAAGCGTGTCATGGTGTGTTACAGGGTCTGGAGCTGCAGGAAACATCTTGTCACACAGTGGAAGCACGTAGGGTGGATGAGGTATTTGAGGCAGCTTTTGAGCGCCCTGAGCGGCTCGGCTTCACCCAGGGCTTTAACCTGCACTGGGCGAATTCCCTCACCCCTTGTGCTGCCATTGCAGTACGGGTCTACTCTGACGCCCGAAATGTGCTCTCTGGCATCATTGACTCTCATGACAACTTGAAGAAAATTCAGGAAGACTTTCTTAAAGCACTGGTCTGGATGCTCCTCCGACACTGTGTGCAGAAACATAAAGGATTTCTTTGGAGCAATGAAGAAGGGCCAGGGATCAGAGGCAGGAAGTCGCAGTCTTCCCAGTTGGGCCAGACTACAAGCAACCAGCCACCTGAGGCTGTCATCGTGGAATCCAACATGTCCTCTCTCAGGTTCAGACAGGACAGCTCTAGTTTGACCTCCTTTGGTGATTGGTCAGATGAGGATGACTTATTTGGACCTCAGCCAGCCAGGCGTACAGTGGCATTAGTGACTGCAGAGGCCCAGCCAGGACACACAACACTGCAGACAGGGGCCTCTCTGCCGGGCTCTGTGGAGATGGACAGCCTTTTTGAAAACATGGCTGTCTCTGCCCTGCAGCCACTGCAGCCCCTGGGACTGGGCATTGGGATGCCAGCTGTGGATAAAGGCCAAAACCCAGAGGTCTTCAGAGAGAGTCCTGGCTCTCTCCCTCATCTCAACTTCAGTTGCCCTCAATCGGAAGTATTCAACCTACCAACAGGGTGGAGGACAGCACCATTGCTACCATCCTGCCTGCTGCAGCTCAGGGCTTTATTTCCTGAGGACTGGTTTCGTTTTACTTTAGGGCGGTTTGGGCCCATTGTGCCAGGTGACACCACTGAAGACATGACCAAAGCTCTGAAGGAGGATGAAGCCTTGAAAGAACTGCATGCTCAGGTCGCACTTTCATGTCTCATCTCACTGGGGGCAGAGTCTGCCTTTACCAGTCCCAGTTATGTTTACAGGCTTTACTGTGGAGATATACCATGGACAGAAGGACTTAACTGGCTCTCGTCAAGTAAAGAACTTTACCAGCTTACACTTCGAGCTTTCAGGTAAAATCGGCAGTTAGAATTTGTCGGTTTTGGTAATTCTGATCAATAGAGCTTATTCATGTGAGGAAAAATACATATATTTCATTGAATTCTGCATGTTTTTTTCTGGCCATTAGGTTCAGTTTCAAGCTGCTGTTTGATCAGGCAAGCCTAGGGCCTATAGAATCCCCTGAGGAATTGTTCAGCACCTTGGAGGAATATGAAAGGGACTGGTACATTGGCCTGGTGACAGAAAAAGGTTGGCATGACAGCATCCTTCAGGAGAAACCCTTCCTGTTTTCTCTAGGACATGACCTTGCTATGGTAAATGCACACCATTCCTTGTCTACAATATAGTCTACAATATAATCTACAAAATATAAAACTACATCTGTTGATACCTTAGATACAAAGTATTATTAGTTGTTTGTATGAAATTGAGGTTATTTAAAGAAATCTCAGTGGATGTGTTACCTTTTCATGATTGGCTGGGCTTTTCCACAGGGCACCTACACAGGGCGAGTCTTGTCCCTGCAGGAGCAGTTGGTGCAGGTGGGCCGTCTGAATGGAGAGGGGGTGCGAGGACAGTGGGCAAACCTTTCCTGGGAGCTCCTCTATGCTACTAATGATGACGAGGAGCGTTACAGCATCCAGGCTCATCCCTTCATGCTAAGGAACCTAACTGTTCAGGCAGCCGATCCACCTCTAGGATACCCCATTTACTCCTCGGCCCCGCTTCACTTCCCCTGCCTTTGACCTGTGGCTGAACAACAAACTCTAGAGGGAAGTGGATGCTTTTACAGTTTGTACTCCAACAGTGAAATGTCTTATTCCAAAATGATACTTGGAAAATTCATGTGTAAAACCATGAAGAAACTTTAATCTGTTACGGAGTATTAAAACTGTAGATTGAGTTCAGAAAGGTAGTCAGTAGAGGAACCTATATTGTTTTTCCAACATTAACTTCAATTTTGGTGCTTCATTTCCTGCACAACTGAGGAAGAAGCAGTTGCGTCACCACTGTACTGTGTACAAGTCGCAGTTCTTTAACTTTTAATGCATAATGTGGACTACTTCCTAAACAGCACATTTAAGAAAAAAAAAAACTCTTTTGACATTTGTATCTCAAGAGTTAATGTTGATAGGTTTCCACCAAACCACCTGCTTAGTGGTTTGTTTATTAATGTTTGTGCATAAAGAGAAGTGAATGAAATAGCCCTTCCCCTTCTGTTGAATACCTCTTATTTTATTATACCTTTTAGATTTTACAATTTCCAGGTGATTTCCACTCCACAAAAATGGACAAGAATATTGTTTTGTTTAAAGTTATCAAGGATGTGCCTCAAGTATGTCTTGTTGTATGTGTAAGGTGTTTAGTGCTGTTTTGTTTACACTTGTTTACAACTTAGAATGAAGAGTTAAAAGAATATGTCCATAGCCTCCTGTTTTTATATGTGTAATTGTATATATTTATAATAAAATAGGTTGGCAGAAGCTGTTTTATGTTTCACTGCACAAATTTGCTAGGGCAGAAAACTACTGAGTACTGATTTTATAACAAGCATAACAAGACTGACAAACGGTACAAAACAGGATTATCCCATGTTTGTCAGGCTTGTCATGCCCTGGCAAGAGAGCTCTAAGCTGCTGAAGCAGTTGTGTCCTTGAATGTTTCATTCTAGATGAGGCAAAAACCATCTCACTCTCCAAGGTGAACATTTAATATGAACACATTCCTCCTCAGGATGAGCCTTTCAAGAGGTCTTGGGCTTTGTGAAGTATGAAGAGTCTGCATCCTGCAAAAGAAATGGCTAACTGTTAGTACTAAAATTTTGACTACTCTCAAAATTAAAATGCTATTTTTACTCAAGCATGAAAATTGTCTATGAATACCCT